GGTGGATTCATCTTTCAGGTCAAAAAGCCAAAAAAAAAAAAAAAAAAAAGAAAACAAAAGACTGTGTAACCCCTAAACTCTGCAAATCTGTTTATGCCTGCAAACTAACCAAATGAGAAATTGACCAGATCATCAGAACAAAGGCTTCTACTCTGTTGTTTGGCTGTGTTTTTGTTTTTTTGTTTTTTTGGGTTTTTTTTGGTAGGGAGAGGTAATTAAGTTTACTTATTTATTTTTTAGTGGAGGTACTGGGGACTGAACCCAGGACCTCATGCATGCTAAGTGTGCACTCTACCACTGAGCTATATCCTCCACAAGGCTTCTACTCTGACTAGGGAAAGGGGAGGTTGCAGGAACACTGGAGGTGGAAGGAGGCAGGGTCATGTAAATGTCTTACTTGTCAACCTAAGCTGTAGCTATGACTAGGAAAGAATAGAATTACCTGCCCTCTGAATCACCAATAAAAATTGCTGAAAAAATATCCAGCAATTTCAAAGTAAACAAGCCAAGGAAGACCAAGGAAATCACAGCCTGCAAAGGCTATCTGATGCCTTATGCCTGAAACCTGTTCTGTGTAAGGTCTGGCTAAGTGCAGGTACACATCAACGAGTCCCATGGCATTTATGAAGCCAAGCTTGTCTTCTTTCTTAAGATAGCCAACATACAGAAAAGTTGGCTTCCTTTGTTGAATAAATGTGCAAAAGTACACAGTTCATGGAACCAGTCAAAGGATGTTTGCCATGATCGTCTATACAATGTAGATAAAAGAGTTTCTAAGAGAAAAAAAAAAGACAAAAAGCTAGAAACAACATAAATGTATATCAGTGGGGAGTAGTTAAATAAAGTATCTTGTATCCATACAATAAACTATATAGGCCCAATGAAATATTGAGATGGACCTGCACGTGCCCAGCAGGAAAATTCCCCAAGCTTTCTGTGCTAATGAAAAAAGCTGGCTGCAGAACAATATGAAGAGCACAGCCCTGTTGATGGTTTGAGATACAGAAGCACCCATGTAAGCAAATGCATAGAAAGGAGACCAGGGCCCATTCCACAAGCAGTGACCATGGCTGCCCCTGGCAGAGGGAATGGAAGACGAAACAGATGAAGGGATTTTCAAACTTTCTGCATACACTTGTGTAAAACTCTTTAAAAGACAAAGTAAAAAAATAAAATTCAGCACACACAACTAACTCAAGAGTCGGAAGATTTTATCGCAACAACAATAAAATGTACGTTGTAAATGCAAATGTACGTTGAAATAAATGTTAGGTACAAAATATTTTTATTGCTTGAGTTGCTCATCTGTTGATCTGAAATTTTCAGTCTTCTAATCTTAAATCAAGTATATGCTCCTTAAATTGACAGATTTCACATACTATCTTCAGACAATTGTATCACAGACAGGAAACTAGGTTTTTCCATCCAAATACAATGTTTATTCAATCTGAAAGAGTGAGTAACAGAGGAATGTCTAAGTAGGTGTTTTCAGGAGTGGGAAGAAAAGGAGCTTACCAGTTTGGTTTATTTCAATTCGAGAACCATTAGTTATTTTGTCCAATAGTCTTATGAAGCTGGCTTCAAAATCTGTAGGAAAGAAAAAAACAAAACAGACTAGCTTCACGTTAGGTCACCATTTTTGGAGAGCACATCACTCAAGTACTACATGCAGGGCAGGTTACATCACACCTGGGTTTTCTCAGGACTGGGGTGAGCTCACTGGGTAGGGAATCTGAAGCAGTTGAAAAGCACTGGCTGGCATATATATGTTTAGTTGAACTAGCAGAAACAAGTCAACTTTCATATTCCACAAAAAAACAGCAAATCTACTGCAATCTAATTACAGCAGCATAATACTTGTTCTTCTGACCTCAGGAGTGTGTGCCAAATAAGGGAGAAAAAGCAGAAAGTAGGAAAGAGTTTTAAGGTCAAATTCTGACTTGCTCCAGAATACCTGACAGGGAAAAATTATATCAAGGGCCACCCTTCAGTATCAGAGACAGTAAGAGGTCACTGTCCCTTCCACTCAACAAAGTATCCCTTCTCCTGTCCTCTATCATCTTACTGATCTAAAGCTATCTAACCAGTTCAGTTTTAATTGTATCACAAAAGTTACTGAATATACAGTATTACTGGAACATTTTTTAAAAATGCATGAAAAAAAGACTAGAAGAAAAAACACCAAATGTTATTAAATAGGTTTCTCTTCACAGTAGGATTTTATATGAATTTAATTTTCCTGCTCAAATTTCAATGTTCAAATGTGCTTCAATTACTTTTATGAATAAACTGTAATCTAAAATATAAAAGCTGGTTATTCTTCAAAAGATGGGGGGGGGATAAACTTTAAATGTGAGATATGGGAAAAGGTAGAGTGAAGACTCAGGAGTATATGTCCTCCATCCTTCTGAGCTGATTTTACAGACACACACACAGGCTTTACTTCAACCTCCCTCCCACGAATGGGGACAGGAAAACCAAGTCTTCCACACTGAAGGCATGGTGACCGTCTGACACTTTCAGGCAGTTCCCAGTCCTGTAATAAACTAGCAGAGGTTGCGAGCACAGACCTTAGCAGTCACCTAAACTGATCCCAAAGGGTGAGCAGATCAGCTAAGGAATTCCCATCTACCTGTTTTGTTACTTAACGCTGTCCCATAACTCCTGTCACAGCAGATTCTACATTCTGTACAAAGAACACTGGGCTAGAAGTCAGAGAAACTCCCTGAAGTCTTGAAACAAGGCATAATAGGTAATAATAGCAGCTGTGCATTAATGCTGACCTTATTTAATCCTCATAATCCCTAAGCAGGAAGTGTTTGCCACTTTGCAGAAGGCTGAGGCCCAAGAATGCCGACTAGCTTGCCCTGGTTAAACAACTGACAAGTGGCAGAGCCAGGATTTGAACCCAGGATTTGGACTCTGCCCTTCTCCAAAGTTCATGCTCTTAACCACGCCACAACACTAGTTTGCCCAATTTAGTTTAATCCCTCAGAGCCAACCTCTTCCTCTAAAAGAAAATCAGGGTACCTTTCAACTGTGGGCAGTGACTTACTGAAAGATCCTGCAAACGATTTAATGAGTCCCTAATCAACATTTATTTTTAATGAAATTAGAACAGAATGAACAATATCAGAGTTACACAGTAAGGGTGCTGTTCATGAAGTTTTAGTCTCAGTTTTACATATATTTGTACGTGTATTAGGCTGTGGTATAAGCAGCATCAGAAAAGTTCAAAAGTAACAACTATAAAACTGAATTAGAAATTATTTTTGCGGTCTTTTTATACAAAACATTCTGTTTTTAAAAAGGAAGCACGCTCTAATAACACAATGCCACTTTCTACTTGTTTATAGAAAATGCAAGGTATTCTACACAAAAATAAAACTTGATTTGCTCAAGCTTTCAGGATGCCTAAATGGGAGAGAGGAAAAAGCACTTATGAACAAAGCCCAAGATTATAAATTCCATAACTTTTACAGATTAGGAAAGAAAACAGAATTTCTTTAGAAGTAGTTTTTTGTTTTGTTTTGTTTCCTTTCTGTTTTTGTTTTGGCAATCGACAGGGTCTCTTGACCATGAACACAGTTTAAAACGCTCAGCAGAGGAACAAGAGAGTAGGAAAAAGAGAGATCAGACTAAAGAGACCAGGCAAGACAAGGCAGGACTATCCCCTGGTTGCAGAAAATAGGTGCTTCAGAAGCAGTATGTCAAAGAACCAAACACAGAGCTAGTTCCAGAATTCTGGCAATAGTGAAGATACAGCTCCATCACCTGGTACGAAAAAGATCTTGAGTTCATCTAATAATAAGAATGAACCCTCAAACTTCATTAAGACAAGATGTGCAGGACTCCTTAGGCCCTCACTTCTTCAGGACTACTCCTAAGAGTACAAAATTTCAGACATCTGACAATATTACGGGAAAAGTTCCAAAATAAGCACAGGCACGATCTTACTACATGGTTTAGGAATACATAATTAGCTTACAAAGCTATAAAGAGAATCAGCAAGAAGACCATAATGGTCAGGAGAGTTGCTACCATAAGGGGCAGGGAAGAAAGTGGCGAATGAAAGAGGCACACAGGTGTGTGCTAAGTTCTATTTCCAGACCTGGATGGGATTATACAGATGTTCATTTTATAATTCTTTAAGCACTACTTTCATGTCTTACGGATGTTTTATGTTACTACATTTCACATTTAAAACAAATTTGTACCATTAGGACCTTCTATTTCAGGATTCCTTAAATACTACTTCCCATACTTAATGCCCTCCCATCCCTAGCCCCCCGAAGAAGTGAGCTCATCATTTCTTTAAAGGGGTTGGTAAATTCACTTCTACAAGTCTAAGTGTCAGACATCAGCCTGACCCATTTTTCACTAAGAAAGGCAAAAGAGCCAGAGAAGGAATCAGTTTAAAGATCTGCAGTTTAAAAACAAGGAGCAAATCTCAATAAATAGTTTCAAGTTAAAAGTATTAAAAATCAACTTAAATTCTAGAAACATTAGTCTGCTTAAATAAATGATGACACATCTACATACCAGAACACTCTGTAGCCTTAAAATGAATGAGGTTTTTAATATACTGATATAAATCATCTCGACAGTATACTGAGTGAAAAAAAGTAAGATGCAAATGGCCACTTGTGTGAAAAAGGAAAAAGTGCATATTGCTTAGAAATACAACTAACACTGGTTGCTTCAAAGAGAAGGAAGAGTGGGAAAGAGACAGACAGACTTTTTAAACTCTTTTGTTTCCTTTGAATTTCATGCCAGGTATATGCGTTTTCAAAAACACATGAAAATAAAATTGAAAAATTCAAATAAAGGTAACGTAACACAATTTAAATAGCTAATAAAGCTGTTCTCATTAAATAGCCTATGAAAGATCTTTATAATATATGCAGCCATTATTTTTAAATAATCAATCACATAAGCAAATACTCACATTATATTAAGAAAAAAATTTTTAAGTAATATGTACAATGTGATTTCAATTTCTTTAGAGAAATAACTAAAAGATAAGACAGTATTAACAGATGGAATTCGGAGTCATTATTTTCGTAATAAATCCAAAAAAGGAAGAAATTACAAACATACACCCAAGTCTCAGAATAAATTAAAGATGTCCACTCACTTGGAAATAATGTATGCATAAAACATTTACAAATTTTATGTAATTATGCATCATGTGATAGGTAAGAAATTATATTTTAACTTAAAGAAATACATATCTTTCCTAAACTGTGAATATGTAAAGAAAAATATTAAAGAGAAGTATCAATTGTATCAAAACATACGAAAGTCTACCGAAGAAAAATTTACCAGTCTAAATACTTTAGTAGTTAAGAAAAAGAAAAGCAAGAGCAAAATAAACTGAGATTTTAGAAATGGAACAAAATTACAAGTGGAAAAGTAAATGAAAACAATAATCTCAAAAGAAGAGATAAACAAAATGGAAAATATATTACAAAAAAATCAAGCTAATTCATTAAAGAAATACAACACAAATTAATAGCTTCATTCACTTACAAAAAGAAAGAAAATGTGAATTATAAAAAGTAAAAATATATAAGTAATAAAAAAGACAGTCACCATGGTACATTAGCCTATTATTTACTGATACATTTGGAATTAAAATAGATGGTTACATAAATAGACAACAAATGAATGCAGCTACTGACATTATTTCCAAGTGAGCGGATATTTTTTAATTTATTCTAAGACTTGGGTATATGTTTGTTATTAAAAAGGGTACATCCCAAGAATGGGCTGCAGATAAAACACAAGGAAAACTGCAGCATAATTAAACACAAGATTAAATACAAAAACAGGAAAACAATCAAGTAACTAGCTTAATTGCGACTGAAAAGGCATCTGATAAAATTCAGTATCTATTTTTCAGTAAAATTCTGTTTTAAAATCTATGAAGAATGAATGTACTTAATGTAATAGTTTATAGATGAAAACAGAAGCTTCTTAAGAAGTTCAAGGAAATGTCTTCATGGTCCTGGGGTAGGCAGAGATTTCTTTAACAGGACACAGAAAGATTTATAAATTGGGCTATGTCAAAAGTAGTAACTATTGTTCATCAAAAGATAACCATTAAGAGCATAAAAAGACAAAACACAGAGTGGAACAAAATATTTGCAATACTTAAACATAGATAGTATACATAAAATGTAGTACCATGATACAGCAAGAAAAATCTACAAACAATTGCTGCTGCAACAGAGATGAATCTCACAAACACAGTACAGAATTAAAGCCAGATACACCCAAAATACATGTTCCATGACTCCATCTGTATAAATCACAGTTAATATTTTAGAAACCTAACTTATGGTGTAAAACATCAATTTATTGTTTATGCCGGGGGTCGGGGTAAATGGTGTGACAAGAAGCAAGCATGAGAAGCGTTTTGTGGGTTGCTGGTCATGTTTTATTTCTTGACATGGGTAATGGCTACATGGGTATAACCAATTGGTAATGTCATCCAGCTACACAGTCATGTGATTTTCTTCATGTGTAGTATACTGTGATAAAAGTTTATTTTAAAAATTAAAAATCAAGTTCAAAGTAATAAT